AAACCACACGCTATGCAACTATAAAAATTAAATAAGGATTTATAATTTCTTCTAATAAACGAAAATTCGTTTTATTTTATATCTTGTGCTCACTATCAAGAGTAATCCGATTATCAAACTGCCAGAACGAAGTGATAAACAAAGGCAGCACTCCGTGGGATGGTGAGCAAAAGGAGTTTTGTCTAATAGATCACTAGGTCTTATTAATTTCATATTTTCGAGATAGTAATAAGCTTCAAATCAGAGTTAAACAAAATCGTGAGCAATTAGAAAGTTTCAAGACGAAGATAGTTCACAAGAAATCATGCGCACCCAACCCCTATAAAATAAAATTTGGTGATACATGATGTGATTGGTCCAAACCGCGTCGATAAATTCGAAACGCGACTATGAACAATTCCGTAAAAAATGGCAATAGATCCACTTGATAGACTCTTCCAAGCTTCTAATAAAATTGCTTTTTTGAATTTTCGACAGAGCTACGGTCATGTAAATGCATTACTTGACCAAAACGTTGGTCAAACCTGTATCCGTGATGCTGCAACTCACGAGAGAAGACTATTCACGACGGTCGATGACGGGCTGCCAAAGTTAACTATCTATCATACACATTCTTATTTTGAAACCCAATTTACTCTGATATACTTCAACATTGGTCATTGTAAAGATTTAATGAAAGACCCACCTTTGAACCGCCAACTCCACTTCGAGCGCCTGGTCCCTTAACTGTTGATAAGCTGATACGTGGTGCAAATGTATTAGCTCAGATATGGTGCGTTTTTTTTCATACCGTACTTTCAAAGTATTTTGATATGTTGAAGTCAATCTTATTTGATCTATTAAAGTGATTTAGAAGATGTTAAATCATATATATCGAAATTATATCAACGTCATGAAGAGATTACATCGTCAATTGACAGTTTGGAGTCAATTGGAAAAAAGGTACCGATATTTTCAGCAATGCCTAAAACTTTAATCTAAATATTTTTTTCTTCTCATCCTAGCAAAAATTAGATTTAGAAAGGATTAGAGGTCTTCAACAGAACATCGAATCAAGAGACAATTTAATAAACTCAAATCAACAATTGGATTCTGCAAGTTTCGCCGAAGAAATACAATATGAACAAAGAGAAATACTTGCCTTGGAGTCGCTAATCGAAGAGCATAATGAAATGGTATCTCCCTCTCTCGATAAGATTTATATTTACTACGTATGCCCTTCCGTACTAAATAATTCATATTTTATATTAGTTGGGTCTGCTTGAATCAAAATTGCAAAACGAAAAACAATTATTTAGAGAGTCCGAAGAGAATGATTCAAGCTACCGTACAGATAGTCTAATATTTTCCGAATCATTAGATTCAATTGAACAATTACAGGTGCAATAAAAAAAATTACGTGATAAGAAATAGCTATTCAAAAGAACAGGATATTAATCTTTTTTGTGAATCATTTAGAAATTATCGCAACTTAGAGAGCAGCTTGAATCTAAACATGAGATCTTACAGCAACTGGGTTATTATAGATTTTTATTCTATCTATTGATGTTTTTCACAAAGAGGAATTAAGATAACTATAAAAACTCAGATACGCACTTGTTAATCCCGCATCATGAATGTAGATGCTCAACTAATTGGAACAAGCGAAAGTCCCACTTATGAGGGAGTTGAGGAAGGAGAATTTGGCCGTTTGAAGTTAAAATATGAATCAATCTTGACCAAAGCAGATGCGGTTAGTCAATATAAATATTTACAGTATCGATAGTTTTACAAAAAATGCTCAAAAACTCATTCGATTGTTTATCAATTAGTCTTTCAGTAATCAAAATTCGGAGCAACTTAACCGAATCCAACATGTCATGGTTTGAGAAAATCTCCTTATCATTTTTATTTATTAATTCTGATCGTTTATTTAATTTTTTATTATTGGTAGTCAACTGCAGTGGGAACATTGCAACAACTATTGGAAGTTCGCGAAAGATATGAATTATTGAATTTTGATCTTGATCTCATAAGGTTTAAAAAAATATAAATTCCCAAGGCATGAAATTAGAAAATTTTCGAAATCTTAATCACATAATTTATTACAGAGAAATAAATAGTACACTAGTAGATCATGTTGCCGAATTTCAAGGAGAGAATCATCTCCCCGAGTTACTCGATAATATTCCCACACCACAGATCATCTTGTCCGCGATAATTCTTCAAATTATCCGTGATGAAGGTGGAGAATTACCACTCACTGAACTCAAGGATAGAATTGGTAATTTAGCTCGTCAACGAGAAATGACAGAGTTTGAAGGAATCAATGCTCTTTATACGCTTGTCGCTAATCGGTTAATCACCATTGATCGTTCAGAGAAAACAAATCCTGTGAGAGCTAACATTTGGAGTATATGAAATTAAAATACGTAGAAGTCATTATAACATCAATACTTTTTTTGTTCATAAGATAAAATTTTTGATAAATGGTAATTTCTAATCAAGATCTTTGTCAATATATTTGTGATATTCAGTATCGTGATTTTCATCAAATTTGTAAACAATTCCTTTCACCTTAATTACAAGAATATCAATATTTTCTGTCATTTCTACCTTCAAAATGTTAATTGAATATTATTAAAAATGCGTCGTGGCTTCTTAATAGTCAAAAATATGCCTATAAATTTATACATTGTAAGCCATAACAAAAATTTTTAAAATAAACCCGACAATCCCGCTTTCAATTTTAAATAAATAGTAAAGTATTTTTAAAAAAAACCCCCAAACCGGGCATAAAATTTTAAAAGTTTGCAAAAACTGACCCGGTCGGGTTATGAAAACCAAAAATTAACTTTTATATGACCTAATCAAAAATAGTCAACTAAATGTGCTCAGGTTCCGTCAATAGTGGCGCATTCTCAGAGGAAGGGCGACGACGTCCAGGTGCAGGTGCGGGCGGCTCGAGGAACGATGGTGGTCTAACAACACCGTTGAAAAGAAACGTTCCCCATACTAAAATAGCAAATCCTAAATAACAAATGATGGATTTAATATAGTTTTTAATGAATCCCAACGAGTTATTCGAATATGTAATAATAAATACCAATAAGCTGCAACCAAGAAAAAGTTTCCCATCCCAAAAACAATGCTACAATCCAAATAAATAGGTTTCTAGTCGTATCAATCGTAGATCGAGCAGTGGCACTAAGAGTTCGAGTCACACTTAACCCGAAAAAGTTGAAAAATGCAATCGAAAAACAAATAGCCACCCCGGTTTGCCATATGCCAGCATTATCGAAGATTTGGTGAAACCCGTTGGATATGTTGAAATATCCATCAGGATGTGTAACTCCATAAATAAAGTGTAATATGATCATTCCAACACTAACTGTGATCAGCCCGAAGATTCCTTCGAGACCAACGGCGCGTAATGGTTCCACGCGATATTTATGCATGATTTTTTCTTCAATAACGAATTGAGATGCGGTGAATATTTGCGCAATTATTACAAAGAAAACACCGATTAAAGCAGCGGCTGCATCAGAAATTCCTTCAGTTTTTGTTATTGTTGTCAAGTTACTGTCTGAAGGTTTACGTGGTGGGAATAATACACTACTCAGCCCTACAATTGTAACACCGAGAACCACCAGGAATATTGAAGCCCAATGAAAAGCATATAAGGTTCGTTTTAAGAATATTATAGAGAATGCTGCGGTGAATATTACAACCGCACCACGAAGCATCTGATAGACTGACGCTGAGGTGTAGATCAACCCAACGTTCATCAACTATTTAGAGTAAAAAAATTTATAATGTACCAACAAAAGATAGCGAAAAATTGAAGATGTAAAACAAAAAAAAATTTAATACAGTAGTTCCCAAGATGTCAGCCATTGTCGGAAGCCAAAACAACAAAACTTTCCATCCAGTTAATTCTTCGGTTGTTCCAGAAACTTCTTCATCAATCTTTATTCTAGATGATGACTCTTCTTCTCCCTCACTTTCTATTGGCACGTAATTGCTAGTTTGTTTATTATTATCATTATTATCATTACTATACCGTTCCTTAAATAGGAGAACATACACCAAGACAAAACACATAGTCTCCCCAATGAACATGTTTAGTGTTTGCCAGACTGGTTGTTCAAAATATTCTCGTTTCTTTGGGTCTGGGTTATCACAATTATTTACACATTGCATATCTTGGAGTTTGTTTAATATCGTATTGCAGACTCCACTTAAGAGCATACCACCCACAAGGAATTTAGTTGCGATTCCTGCCATCTTATTCCTTCTATTGATAAAAATAAAATGTACATAATCTAAACTAATGGAAATTTTTATTTTTATATGGTGCGGTATCCCTTATCCCGTGAGCATACGCATACGATGAAGCTAAACCATTTTCTACAAACAATCGGTCTCCTTTTTTTGACATGATCTGTTGATCGTTAAATCAAATTTGATTGGTCGATCAATGAGTCACGTTTTATACGTGTCATTATTGCATTTTATAATTGATACGTAATTAGCATTTTGATCACATGAATATAAATAATAGACAGCAAGCTAATTTTCATATTTGCAAATACTTTCCGATTTCCGATTTGATTTTGAGACATGGCAAAGTACGTTGCTAAAGGTAAATAAATGTCGTTTACTCTTTTTCCCTCCTTGAAAAGTGCTCTTGTTTGTAGTTAACGAGTCATTTTACCCGTGTGAGATTATCGATCTTTTCATTAAACGTTTGCATTTGATTTAAAAAGACGGCACTGTCCAAGAAAAAAATGCTGGCATTTTTGGATTTATCAACACCACTTTTTGGGGTGTAATACAGTTTTTTGTTTATTTCGTGCAAACGTTAGTCTCGGTAACTACAAGTTTTTTTATTTTCCTAAATTCTCCTTTTTCTTGCAATTTTTTTTCTTCATTCAAATACGACGACGCTAAATTATAATTATTTCTTGCAAAATAGCCACAAGCCGCTGATAACATTATAAATGCAGGGCGTCCTTCCGATAACAGAGGTGATAGCAGCGGCGGTGGCGGTAACAGGAGAAACATTATTAATAGACCAAACATAAAACATTTTGGCAAGTTTATTCTTAAGTTTATTTATGTTTGATTATTTTGAAATCTATTATTCATCCTCGATTATCTCTTTTTTTAACTTTGTTTTTATTAGAGGCAGCACCACCATGTGGCGGATGCTGTGGAGGATAATAATCATTCAAGCTTTTTCAAGTCGTATTTTATTCTTATCACTCTTTTAATGCTAATTTAATGTATCATGTTTAAATACTCTGATTTTTTTCTTTACAAATAAATCAAACCTACTTCTTAAACTCTTTATGCAGTTTCCTATTTTGTATCTCTTTTACAAACACGACTAACTATAAATGGATGAACATTGAACGCGAAATATCTAGCATTGATTTTTCCGAAGAGCATTGTAAAAGTTTCCTCTTCCCCTTTGATAAAATGAGTGTCAAGAAAGCAGGGTATTCGGTTACTACTGAAGGATTAAAAATGAGTGTCAGGAAAACAAAGGATTCGGTTAAAGAAGAATTACAAGACATTTTACCTGACCATAATGGGCCCAATTCAAATATTCGCTTAGAAGTCGATGGTATTCAGCAGTTCGTTACCTTCGTAGCTGCTGTTTCCGAAGTCGGTCCAATTGTTCAAACTTGTAGTGTACTAGTTCGTGAAATTATCGACCTTGTCGAGAGAGCAGAGCACAATACGAAAACGTGTCGTAGGCTGAAGGATCATATAGTTGTGGCAAACCAAACTCTTGAGAGGAAAGTTCGTGGGGTTCAAATTGGGAACGACAGTTATCTTGCTTTACAAAAGTATAAAGATGCACTCGTGGAGTCTAAATCTTTTATAATTAAAATAAGTGATACTAACTGGTTTTTGAAACTGATATCAGCTAAAGAGGTAAACATTATCAATACTAGCATCCTTATAATTCTCATAATTGCTTCGATGATTTAGTGGAAAGCGTTTGATAATTAAATTATAAATTATAAATAACAATAGATAGAATGGAAATTTGCTGATTTGACTCAGAATCTAAACACCGCAATCGCCCAGCTGGGACTGGAACAAATTGTGCGAACTCGTCAAGACATGGAGGAGGACTCGAAAATATTCAGGGAAGAAAGCAAAGCAACATATGCAACAATTGAAGCTGCCATGAAAAATATTTTCGACAGGGGAGAAAGTGTAGTCACCAAAGTTCAAGCATTGGATGAAAAAATGAATGCCATACATGATGCCGTTAACAACATACACAATTCACAACACGTTCCATCGAATTTGCACCATACACGAATAGATTGCAGGCATTTAACAGAAATTGATGAGGAGGAGGAGGACGAGGACGAGGAAGAGGATACGGAAGACGAAGAAGAAGAAAATAGTGTTAATAGTATTAAATATAAAAGTCCTCGACGTAATCCTCTCGGAAACACACGTGGCCAAGTCCGAAAAATGCGGTATATTGCTAGAGATGTGGCTCAAAAAGAAATTGGTGATATTGCTGCATTGAATGAAAAACCAGAGACTATTGAAAGACAAGTGGCGATTCTTACTGAGTTAAAGGATTGTGAATATATAATCAGATTGTATGTAAACTATAACCTTATTTACTTTAAAAGTTCTCCCTTTATTTATTATTGATTTTTATTATTCATTAAAAAATATATTAGTCATGGAACAATGCAACGCGATGGACGTTTGTATATTATCTCGGAATGGGCCGAGGTCGGAGATTTAAATAACTATCTGAAAAATAATCCTGGCCTTCCTTGGTCATTCAAAATCAGAATCGCCTCGGAAGTTGCGAATGGATTGGTATTTTGCCATACATTCGATATTTTGCACCACGATATTAGAAGGTAATTATCATTATTATTCTCATTGTTTTTTTAATAACTTCAAAATTTATTTAATTAAATTTTTCTGCATTTTAAAAATTTTTAGCCACAATATATTATTGACTGAGAATTTAGTCGCAAAACTCAGCAACTTCAGCTCAAGTCGTAAGGAGGCTGATGCCTCCTTAAATTCAAATCATTTTAAAGATCTCGCTAATCAATACAAGTAAACAATTGTTAACTTTTCATTCGTATATGTCTTAGTTTTTTCTAAAATAATAATTTTGATTTTTATATAGGTGGTTAGCTCCAGAAAAGCTTCGCGGACATAAAGTACCTTACACTAAACAATGTGATATATATAGGTATGCTTATTATTAAATGAATTCATATGAATATTAATTTAAATATCAATTTTTATTGATGTCATATATAGTTTCTCGATTGTTTTATGGGAGCTTGCATCCCAGGAAACGCCTTTCCAAGAGTATACAACAATAAATAAATTAATTGATGCGGTCGTGTCAGGAACTCGACCGCCACTTATAGAAGGTACACCAACATCATTCGAAAAAATGATGCAAAAAGGATGGAAAGATAAACCGATAAAAAGACCGACAGCTTGGACTATGTTCAAAGAATTGAATAACCTTAATAAACAAGTAAATTCCATGCGACATCTTAGAGGATCATCGTTTGATCGACAGTCTTTTTCTTTTTCTTCCGAAGCAACGTTAATGGGATCACGACATAGTTCTTATACCAGCATTCAAAATATCTCGGAGTCATCTAATCTATCAACATCACCACCACCACCACCATCATCATCATCATCATCAACTCAAATTTCCTTACCAATTAGAGAAATACCTCCTGAAGACGAAGATTCGAGACAAATAAGAATCGATTTACTTCAAATTGGTTCCCAGACAGCAAAAAAATTTCAACAAACTGATATTGATCCCCGAACAGTCGATGTATCATACGCAAAAAAGCTTCATCAACAAAAAGAATATGCACAAGCTTGGCCTATCTTTAAAAGTTTCGCAGAACAGGGTGATCCTATCGCGGAATTTTATGTCGGTTATTACTTGATTGCCGGTGATCGCGGTGTACCTCAAAACAAAGAACTGGCAGTCGAATATTTTCGTCGTTCTGCAGAAAAGGGAATTGCTGATGCACAGTTCAGATACGGTGTTGCGCTACTATGTGGTGAAGGCGTTGAGAAAAATTCGAATAATGATCGGATTGCAATTGAAAATCTGAGGAAATCAGCTCAGAATGGTAATCGAAATGCGATGTACAACTATGGAGACCTATTAATTAATGGTGCCCATGGTCTTCCAGAAAATCTTGACGAGGGAATAGTATGGATGAGAAGAGCACACGATAAGGGACATCCTCAAGCATATAGAAAATTAGCTGCCCGTTTAAACTTTTTAAAAAAACCAATTCCTGACGATATTTCAAAATGGCTAAGTACTCATAATAGATAATTTACACGATCATTTTATTATAGAACTACTTTTTTTAAATAGTTATTTATTTATTTATTTAAGGATATTCTTAGACGATTTTCCCTCTTATAAAATTTTCTTTAATAAATAGAGAAATCACTTTTCAGCGTAAGATAAGCGGTATTTTTTCACCCATAATAAATTTATTTCCTTCTATTTATTTATTATGATTCAATCACCGAAACTTTAATTTGCACTATGAGAATCAATTAATCTTTGTCGTGCAACTTGTCTACGATTGAGACGTTGCACTTTCTTAGAGTCGTCCTCACGTTTCACTTTTGTCTCTTCTTCTGAGACAATAATTTCAATGTGACATGGACTGCTCATGTACGGGTTAATACGCTAACGGTAAAATATAAACAATAAACAAATTGTATTCGTAAATAAAATGAGAAAATAGAATGATAAGAATACCTACACCATGAGCGCGATAAGTTCTTCTTCTTTGTTTTGGTGCTCGATTGACTTGAATATGACTTATAACTAAATTCTCCACATCCAAATGTTTAAGCTTTATTATATAGGATAGGATTAAGAAAATTAAAATAAAAATGTTTTTTTTTCTGGAATTAAAAAATTGAATATATAAATAGTTCTAATTTACCTCAGCATTACTCTGAGCATTTTTCAATAGGCCCAATAAGAAGTCGGCACTCTTTTCCGGCCAACGACCTATCTCATCTCATTAAATAAGTTGAATATATTAAACAAATCAATATCCATTTTATTATATATTAACCTTGAGTGGCTCCAAAAGCCTTAGCCTGAGCACATCGACCAACACCACCATTGAAGCGTCTAAACGGCACAGCTTGTTTATGAGCTTTCACATCCTCAAGATACTTTATAGCGTTAAGTAATTTTCTGCCGGAAATCGATTTGGCAGCTTCACGTGTATTCTTGAAGTGTACACGCAGATAGGCTCCACGAGTTTTGGCGGCTATGATAAAATTATCGTCATAAAGATTAATTGATGAGTTGGATGAAAATTGAGATTCTTATCCATATATTACATACATTTGTCACTATTTTGTGGGGTAGTCGAGTATCTCACCATTTTAATTTTTAATGCGTCTCTGATATCGAAATTGTGAAAAGGAGTTTTGATTATTTTAATGGATTTACGGAATTCTTTTCCTTCCCCAATTTGTATAAATTCATAATCACTTAACCAGTAGGTGCTTTCGATTGTCTTATAAACTAAAAAAAAAAAACAAAAATACCAAAAAATCAATACTCACTTATGGGTGGTAATGAAAGACTAAAATGACAAAATTTTTTCATCTTTATTTCTCTCGTGACCTGTTCTGCGGAAATTATGCCAAATTTTACCTTAATTTTGGCCAAATTTAACCTTTCCCCAGTCATGACGAACAAACATCATGTGATTCCGAACTGGATAACAGAATTGTATTGCAATGGGCAAAGATTTATTTTGGGCACTTATTTCATGATTCTTTGGTATGTGTTGTAATTTATCATCATACAAAATTCAATGTTTAAACAGCATATCCATTATAAATCTTCAGAGTAGTCAGTTTTTCCAATAACATGACAACATTGTAAAAGATGATATTATGACGGCATTTTTGCAATAAATAAAATTTCTATTTATTAGTTTATTGAATCCATCAAAGAGAACTTGTAAGATATGAAAAACTTGAACCTTATCGATAAAGAATATTTCAAATCTCGATACTATGATTAAAAAAATTTCTGATAAAATTTCTTTTTCTTGCATACAGCTTAGATGGTGCAGGATATGTTGAACAATTTTATAAGATTGGTAAGTGACCTTATAATCCTCGGCACGCAAAAGTTCGAACGGATCGGCTGATCGTTAAAAAGAATGCCTTTTACCGAGGATCAATTGTCTTTATTATAACAGACTCGATAAAAAGTTCGTTTCGTAATTAAATTTATATATGCATACGCGCAACTTTATAATTGAGCCACTCTGACGCGCGTCGGAAATGAAAAATGTATGTCTTATGATGATTGGTCCGCTGCGTTACACGTAGAGATAATTTCATGCAACATCTATAAAGTCGCGTTTTCGCGTCAAAATAAAAAAAGTACATGTAATGATGGTTAAAATATATGTTCCCATTACTATCAAATGCCAGAATAACCCAGCTACCCCACCTCGGGAACTTGAAAACCTTAGTTTAGGTATAGACGCAACTACGACGACCTCAACCATTACTACTGTAAATGAGGGGGAGGAAGTTGTGCTAATAGAATTGCAAGGTGAACTAATGAACTTTGAAGAGAATATACAAAAGAAGAATGAGAAATTTGTCGTAGGAGATTTGAAATTCGAAGGAGAAGTAAGTTCCTTGAATTGAGGATAATGATTTGATGATAATGATTTGATGATAATGATTTGATGATAAACTGATAGCCAGTATCTTATTTATATATATATATATATATATACAGAACTTTGATACGCCAATTTTATATTTTGGCGCATATCGCTGTGAAGGTCGTTTAGTAAAACTAGAAAAGCCGTGGTTATTGTTAACTGAACCATCAATCAGTACAACGACACCATCACACGAAATAAATACCAACTCCTCCACCACCAACACTCGACTATCAACAAATTTAATATCAAAAGCAATTATACGAAAAAAATATTTATTCAAGACCAGACCAAGTATGATTTGAAAAATCAACAATATTCTAAAATGTTCGAATAACGATGCTCGTGTATTATGTTAATATCTTCAAAATAGCTGCCTTTTATTTATAATTTAAATTACATTTTTTGCCTTCAAAATTTCTATTTCTTGATCAGAATATTCTAATAATTCAGTTAAAATTTGCTTGGTGTGCTGTCCGAGAGTTGGTGGTGGCAATCTAATACTCGGTTTGTTCCTAGCATATTTCACAGGGATGCCTACATTCATTTTAGATTAATATTAAATAATAAATTATCATAATTATCAATACTTAAATTACCTAACAACTGTACAACGCCAGCTTTTGGATGCTCCACCTTCTGAATCATTTCTCTAGCAATAACCTGCGGATGCTTAAACGACTGTTCGATGTTATTAATAGGGGCAAATGGAATCTCCTTATCCTCCAATACTTTCAGCCAATATTCCGTACTTTCTTGCCTAAACCTTTCCTCCAAAATAGCAATCAACTCATCACGATTCTGTACACGATCGGGATTAGACCGGAACCTCGCATCATCAAATAACTCGGGCATTCCTATTGACATGCACAGTATCTTGAATTGTCGCTGATTACCGGCACCGATCATCAAATACCCGTTTTTGGTGGTTAGCACTTGATAGGGGACAATAGATGGGTGTGCGGTGCCCATACGTTTGGCTTCTTGTCCGCTGATCAGATAATTGCTTGCAATATTGGCCAGAGAAGCTGTTTGGCAGTCAAGTAGTGCGCAGTCAATGAATTCACCCTTGTTTGTACGTGTTCGTGCGAATAGGGACGCAATTATCGCACTGTGAGCATATAATCCTTTTTTTGAGAAAATGCCGCTAAAGCTTGAGATGATTAATAATATAAATACGGAATTTACAAAAAATAATATTCATCTTTATCGGTGCGTTTTTACCAGTTGTCAAATCTGCAAAGGATAAATATATATATATATATATATATATATATTTTTGATTAGGAAAATAATAATATATGAATAAATTAAAATACAGATATATTGAGATTACCAGTAATTGCAACGCCTACTTTTACTGGCCTGCCTTTTTCTTCACCCGTAATATACATTAATCCCCCTTCAGCCTATTTGATAAAAAAACTCATCATTAAATTGATAATTACTAAATTCCGAGATAATCATCATTAACAAACTTACTTCTACCATAACATCGTAACCGGGTCGTTGGGCATAAGGTCCGGTATGTCCATATCCTACAAACATTAATAAACAAACCATTTCATTTTATTCCTTATAATGAACTCAGCTCTAAAAAATCCAATAAAAAAGACAGACCAGTAATAGAGGTGTAAATCAATCTTGGGTTAATTCTGCTCAATTCTTTCCATCCCAGCCCTAATTCCTCTAATTTCCCTGGTATATAATTTTCCACCAACACATCACTTTTTGCCGCGATTTTTTTTATCAACTCTATCCCATCGGCCGATTTGAAATTTACGGTTATGGATTTTTTATTACGGTTTATAGCAAGAAAATATGCACTCTCGGGAGTGGTGTTGTCTGTCGGATCTTTATTTTGCGCCCAAGGAGGCCCCCAAGTACGTGTATCGTCTCCATAAAGTGGATTCTCAACTTTTATTACTTCAGCACTTCAATATGTTGTTTATCACAGATATAGAATGAGCAAGCTAAAAAGGAATTGATGCATATAAGATGTATTATTTACCCGAGGTCCCCTAAAAGCATAGTGCAATAAGGGCCAGCTGCACATTTAATTCAATTGATATGCTTAATTAATGCCAAGTTATACTGAAACATGCGTAAATTCGTCTTCAACAAATACCCAATATACGTGTAAGATCAAGAACACGTATTCCATTTAGTGGTCCGCTTTCAACACAAGATTCATTTGACAAAGCAACATCCGACTTGAAACGAATAGTATTCTTTCGAAAAGTATTGTTATTATTATTATTAACTGCTCGAACTTTAAGACCTTTTGAAACAAAATTCGATAGAGACACAGCTAAATTGCAACATATGCTTAAAGGCTTTTGCCGAGGAAAGAGTGACAACATTTTCTATATATCTTTTTTTATCGAGTTTGTTTGGGATATACAGTCAAACCTCACCTGTTAATATGACAATTGACCAAATCAAAACAATTATGAAATTTTCCCTTACGATGTCGCATTTACAAGGGTTGACCTGGAAAAATTCCATAAAAAATTTTTACTGTTTAAAGGTTAGTCTAGATTACTAATTCAAAATTCCCGTTTTCGGCTCTAATTTCCGTGTAGTATATACATATATGTCATATACTTTTTTTTTTGTTTTTGACACTAAATTAGACGCTAACACTAATTGAGTAACATATACCAAACCGCATTTATATGAAACCATAATAAAGTTAAAAAAACGAAATATTTCAATCAATATTGTGTGTGATACAAACGATTTCTTATTGTGTTACTCCATTATGAATCTATAAACCAATGATTTACTGAATAAATCAATTCAAAATGTCCCCAAATGAATGCCATGTTATTTTCTTAGTTCATAGATATATGGTCATTTACACGATTTGCACAACCTTAACAATTATCTTTTTTAAAAAAAGGGTCCATTCACAGTAATCAACCATAATGCAGGGCGTTTATAAATTTCTGCAAGAACGGTTTTACAAGAAGTAAACCTAAGGTCATTGTCACTCATTCTACGCTAGAAGCGAATTACTTCCATATAATACATACCTTTTGACAAAGACCTTGTAGGCTACTTGAAAGAACTTAAAAGAACAAAAATTGTTCGAATTCGCAAATCATCCACTTTTGATCCAACAGATGAACACCTTGTCCTTCTTCTTCACCTTATGGCCGGCCGTTGCTGACTGGATCCAGCAAGAAAGATTTTCATCAAGGGATGGTTTCTGGGATGAGCTATAGTACTATAAAATTTTACGAAAGTTGAAGAATTAATCATTGTCTCTTGGCATCTATTTGTTTTTTAGCAGCATGTTAATCCATTTTAAATTAAGTAAAATTAATATATATAATAAAGTTATATTGCATGAAATAATTTCCACGAATATGTTTAATTTCGTGTTTATTATTATTAGACATAAAACCTGGAATTCATAAGAATTCTATGAAATATTGGAACTCACATTGACAAAATACATGTTTCCACGATTGCGTACCAAGAGTGGAATTGCTCAGAGCGGCATAAGTTTCTCGAAGTTTAACTGAATAGTCATACTATACTGCAAGGATAATTCTAAGTTCAAATCCACATGCCTAGCAAAATTCCTGGATAGGAAGCATTCATCCCAGGTTTCTCTAAGAGAAACACAGAGTGCTTCTGTATTTATTTGAATAATAAATAATAGGAGTGAGCCCTGAAAAATTACGTTAACGAAAATCCGGAGGTCACGTTTTATTAAAATGATTCTCTCGAACATTTTAACAACGGTGATCCCCCTAACCAGAGTCCAGGTTACCGCAAACCGAAAACTTGATATTAAGATTCGTCTATATTAGCTAAATCGAATGGTCCTGTTTTGTTCAAATTGGAATGTTGCGCGTTGAGATAAAATTATCGAATGATCATCCCGGTTTAAATAAATAAAACAAAAAGAAGGGTATTTATGACACAGCTGAAAATCACACATAGAAAAACTTTTATTAATATGTTTATTAATTTAATGACTAAAAAGCAAATTAATTTATGAGCAAAAAATGTAGATAATAAAAGAGCAATAATCGAGATTAAAAGGTTAAGTAAATTGTCTTCCTGAGAATTTTTATATATGTCATACTTGTTGTCTATTCTGCGTGGCTTACTCCCATTATTCAACAAAACAAGTTATTTTTATATCGACAATGAGAATATATGTAAATTTATTGTTATGCTATTTACGTGTTCTTTGTCCTAAATTGATTAGAATAGTAGTGAACTCACTATGTAGTGAATACTTTGGATATTTGTAATGAATTTATTAATAAACTCGTGCATGATACAGTGAATTTTTGACAAACCATTCATTATATCAGGAGTGACTATCGTATCATCGCATAATATTTTTTTTAGAGTTGTAAAGTATCGGTTATCGGTTTTTGTTGTGCTTTAACCAATTAACCCATTCCGGTCAAGGTGCTGTGATTCGCCAGCCGACCTCCGGATGGATCAAGGGGGATCGGTAATAGCATTTCCATCCGTGTAATTGGTTTTTTTTATTTTTGTAAGACATTAATTTAAAATTATCCTGTGTTCCGAATTTATAATCCAAAAAGGGGAATATAATAGTGCACACGAACATAAAAATAGTAGTCATTGGACATTACTAATATTAGCAAATTAAATATATTAAAATTGTGTTGGTACAATTTTCCACAAGGGAATAAACGCCCAACAAAAAACACTCCTGTTATTATTTTTTTCACCTTTCCCGTTGTATAACCACTCTTTTACTTTCCTTTCACTCTCTTTTCTCGGTCTTTTGTCCCTTTTTTTTTTTTTACTTTACTTTACCCTAGATTCAACAATAAACCATAATAATCATCTGTATTTCGCAATTTACAACACTATCCGAGAAAAAAGATAAATTTGCGGGAATTGCTTTGAAAAAATCACATCCTAAAGGCCTGACTAGAAATTTATAGAAAAACGATGAGCAGAGACCGAACAAACGCTTTGCGGGTATTTTTTTTTTATTTTTTCCAACTATGCAAAGATTATGATTATGATTTGCTGCAATTTTAGTTTTTTGTGAGCCTGATATTACTTGACGTGTAGCTTGTTGAATATTATTAGGTTCCTAACGATATTGGCTATGGAAACCAATTCAAGTATGTTAAATTTGCGAGCACATTCAATTTTCCATGGGGGAATTTTCATTAATTAACTTATCTGTTAGTAGTCAAGGTGGGTATCCACCACAAGGAGGCAATCAATATGGACAATATAACAACCAAGGATATGGTGGTGGTGGAATGAATAATCAAGGATATTCACAACCAGATGTTGAGATGACACCAGTTAATCAAACTGTAAATTCATTTTTCGACGAGGTAATTCATACATACACACGTATATTCATGATGGAGCTGCTATTAGTCTTCGTGTAATGATATCTGATATCTATTTGGAAAACATTCATCGATTTTTCAAAGGTCTCTTCAATCCAAGAAGCGATTCGTCAAATGCAGGCCAATGTTAATGCAATCGAGGAATTACACGGGAGATCTCTAGCCACGATAAATGAAGACGCTTCAATTAAAGATCAACTCGAGAATCTGACAATACAAACACGAAACCTCGGGCAACAGGTGAAAAATAAGATTCGAACCATAGAGGCGATGAACATCAAATTGCCACCAAATACCGGTGATCTTGACGTACGGAGAGCGCAGGTAATTCTAAAATTGTGTACTATAACTAAAATTTATTTGTTTATAGGGAGGTTTTCTTATGATCATTATTATTATATATAAATCTGGTTTAATTTAGGTCGCCAACTTACGAAAAAAATTCCTAGACACATTACAAAATTATCAACAAACGGAATATCAAAATCGTCAAAAATATAGGCAACGAATGGAACGACAATACAAAATTGGTATGTTGGCGGTTTAATTATAATTTTTTGTATTTCAGATACACATGGATCTTATCGTTCACGTGCTAATATTTTCACGTATATGATAAATAAAAATTATAGTCAAGCCCAGCGCGACTCAAGATGAAATTGATCAAGCTTTAGATAATGATGAAGGCGGTCAAATATTTGCGCAATCGGTAGCGTATAAATAACTTGCCTGCCATCTTTTTTCAGATACAATTTGTTAAATATTAATCTTTTTTTCTTTTAGTTGATGCAGTCTACTCGTTATGGTGCAGCCCGTGAAGCACTTCGGGAAGTGCAAGAACGTCATGATGAAATAAAAAAGATTGAGAAAACTATCGAAGTAAGTTTAGTCTTTCAAGTTGCTGTGCTATCACGTAAGATGAACCGTTTCCGTTTTTACACCGCTGATTATTTTTCTTTTTCTTTTTTTTTGGTTTGTGACAAAAGGAACTTGCAAATCTTTTCCAAGAGATGCAAATTATGGTCGAAGTTCAAGATCAACAAATTGAGCAAATTGAGAATCATGCAAATCAGATAACTACGGATATGGAACAGGGAGTTACTCATGTGGAAACAGCCTTGAATCATGCAAGATCTGCACGAAGAGTAAGTTTTTTTTATATAATATATTAATGGATTCATAATTTTCGTTTTTATTAATTATCCTTTTCATTATTATAGAAAAAATGGTGGTGTCTCTTGATCTTCATCATTATATTGATAATTGCAGCCGCAGCAATATATTGGTTCGTCATTCGGCCAAACCAAAATAAGAATAACGGTGGTACTAGCGGTGGTACTAGCAGTGGTATTAGTAGTGGTAATAGCACTAGTACTGCTGGCCATTGATAAGCTGCACTATTGCCATATATGCTATCATCTTTGTCAGCAACTTCGTTTTTCTCTACAACTATATAAATTTCGTTTGATAGATAAAAAATCTTAGAATGATGGATTGAAGGAGGAAATGTAGATAGATTAGATATTTTACTACTACGTACTTTATGGGGATGGGTGCATCAATCAATGAAAGAAGCAACAAAAAAAATGTAATTATAAGACGAATTCTTCGTTAGACAGAAGATCTCGTATCGAAAAAAGTTGATGGATGGCACAAAAAGAAAAGAGCAGAACAGAAGAAGGGATGAGGAAGAAGAAATGCGATCTTTATTATTTATGAGAATAGTGACACAAACAATCAATCAATTAATTTTTTGGGACGTTTAAATATTTATAATTTTAAATGACAGTAATAATAATAATGTGCCGCTCTTCCTTCTCTTCCTTCCTCTTAATCATCTTCATTACCATCATCTTTCCATAATTTTTATTCCTAAAAATTTAATTAATTTCGATTTTCATATACACACACACAATCATACCACCAATAATGTCAATACTTTTTTATTTGTCATCATCTAATACCTAATACTTCGACACACAATAGAAATCTAATTGCTAACTACTAAACACTAAACAGATTTTGTAATATTACTATTACTATTGTTACCACTATTTTTTCTTTGTGAATTTGATTGGAACCATAATTTATAGCTTTTTTTTTGAGATGGTGCATCCTTATAATTCTCGGTAAATAAAATAATCTACAAAAATCCTCAAATAAAATCTTATTCCGCATCGGGGAATCGAACCCCGGCCGTCGCGGTGAAAGCGCGAAATCCTAGCCACTGGACCAATGCGGACTATTTGATTGTAAAGTGGCTGATAATTAAAATAATTAATCAATAACCAATGCAATCCAGATGCTTATTAACGAAATTTTGCATGATTTATATGTATATGGGCTTATTGTTGACTTTGAGAGTTTCATTGTATGAAAGTGAATTGTGCAAATAACTCTAGCCATTTATCATATATCGATACGTATAAACAAATACTTAAGATTTTAAAAGAACTAAACAAATTAATATAAGTAAATTTCATCACAGTAAAAGCTTCTATTGTTCTGTCTCTTCAAAAGTAAAAAACATGTACTCATGAGAAATAAAATGCTCGTGTAACGTCACGAGCTTCGCTTGTTGCAGAAAATAAAATTAGAAAAAGCCACGTATTATTTATCATTTATCATTTTATCGACTTTATAAAATCAACCTTTGACAGAGTTGAAATAAAGTAAAAAAAAATTCAAACAACCTTATTCTTTCTTTTTTTATATTATTAAGTTGAATCATTTAGAATGGTAGGTATTTTTATTTTTATTATTGGCAGAAAAAGTTCGCTTTACCCATTCATCTCATCACGTTTCACATTTACAAAAAAAAAATTGAAAAGCCTGTTTCAAACACACATACAATTCGTGCCAGAAACCAGGCATACGCTTCTAATATTAACAAACGCGGGAATGTGAAGCCGTCCATAGTAAGTGGTGTTTTGTATTTTCCAAAAAATATGTGACTTTTTATTTCAGATTATTTTTCTGTTTGAACTTTTATCAAAGAACTTGTATTAACTAATCTCTCTATGAAACCAAATCAAATAGCGGAAGGATAAAGCAGATAAATATCCAGTCGGATATGTCGCCTTGGGAATCATTGTTTTTGTTGTAATTGGCTCGGCAGTTTTTGAAGTTTTCAAATTTTTATTTATTTGATTTCAAATTTCAAATGCCTTCAAAAAATTGAAATATACTATAGTTCAGAAGAAATCGATTTTATTAATATTAATAAAATACATTTCTTTATTTTTGATATTTGTTTAGTGAATGATTATCGGATATAATTTGGGTGCGTGTATATTATAACAATGTAACAAAGTTTAGATGAAAGATTTAGGATTCATTTGCTATCACGAAGCCTATCATTTTCGCTTCGAAAATAACTTGTGCAAGTACGATGAAAATTCGAATGTTGATCCTTATCATAAAGCCATAGGTTTTTTTTAGTCGATTTTAACTTTGACAAATTCAATGCGTTGTCCAAGAATCACACTATGTTTGGTCCAATCCGTTCTAGTCCAAGAGCACAGATCCCTTGAACTGGAACTGAATTTTGGGACTTAATTTACGAATATTGGACTTTATGTATCAGTGATGCGATACAAGCTTTTTATCTTTGCATAATATTTTTCTTACATATAACAAGATAATATAATATATATATAATCGAATAAATTCTTGTGAATTAATTTTCACCATCAAATGAATCAATTTCTTCAATTGGTGGGATCTTTATCAATTTCTATTCGCATCGCTAGTATTCATCTTAGAAGATAATATATGATCCAGAGAGAAACTAGATGATCCGTGTGTGTGCTGTAAAATATCGATATAATGATTCTTGATATAACAACGTTAATTAAACCCTAAAATTGGTTCCAGAATATATAGTAAATTTCATCTTGGTATATCACAATGGCAAAAATCAGATTTTGATTTGATGCGTAATTTATATGTAGCCGTTTTCCCATTTCTAAATATTATTAGTTGCCAGCTCACACATTCTTATTGGATAATTATCATCTGATCAGAAACTGAGTATATTAAATAAAGTAATTTTTAAGTGTTTATCGTAATTTCGGTATCTAAATTGAACAAAAATTCAATTAAAACAGGAAATTTTAAATAGAGAGGGGGGGGGGGGTACTTTATTCGGATAGTATTATATTATATATATTATAGATATTGTATAATAGAAAGGTTCTAATCAAGAATTGGCAAAAATTAAACCTGAATAGTATTCGGGTCTTAATAATGGATGGTACTATATTTTGGGTATATACTGATCTACAATCATGTTGAAATTTACGTGTTATTGATAAGTTATGTGGCACATTTTGCATACGCCATCTTAATCACGTGATTCTTTGTTGGGCACAGATTTATATTTACGCGTCTTTTTTACCTGATATCATCAAAAAATAACGAACAATTCAAAAAAATCTCTCTCTATAAAAAAGAAAATGAAATCCAAAGACATGGATAACAGTTCTCGTATTGTAGAACAACAACAAAGTGATAATAACAGGATGACGAAAATAACAACAACTGATACATTAGCTCAAAAAAAAACCACTAGTTCATCGTCGCAGTTGTCTTTAGAAAGAACCTCTTCTTTTGCAACAACAGTTGCAACAATGACAGCCACAACAGCAACGACAGCAGCAACAGCAACTACAGCAACAACAGTGACAGCAAAAACAGTGACAGCAACAATAGAAACGGCAACAACAGCAACAGCCACAACAGCAACAACAGCAGCAGCCGCAGCAGCAACAGCAACAGTAAACGATGAAACAGTAAACGATAAAACAGTAAACGATAAGACAGTAAATGACAAGACAGTAAATGACAAGACAGTAGATGACAAGGATAATCGATTTATTACGTCTTTGGAAGGTGGTGCCAAATTAACAATGATCCAGGATTCATCAAATAAAACAACCAAGTTCATCACCCAAGAGAAATCGACTCGAGTTGAAGTCCCTTCTGAAAGCAACTCCCCAACAAACGCAGAAGTAGTCGTCAATCCAAGTGCCACAAAATCTGATAACCATAAGAGAAAAGGATCTTTTTTGGAAAATGGGGAGGAAGATAACACAACCAATACAAACGTTCGTAAAAAAATCAAAAAATCTGTTAAAGGTAAACAAGAACAGAGAGAGAAAAAAGTGCCAGTCAAGAGAAAACGAACAGAGGAACTCGATTATTCAAGCGAAAGCCGAACGGACTCTAACGCTTCGGATGATTCTTTAGAAAATGAGAAACGCAAGAAGCGAGAAAAGACTGCTCAAAAACCTCCATCAACTCCTGTTGCGTCAAAATATTTATCATCATCAAGTACTGCTTCAAAATGCTTACCATCAACTCCCCCAAAACGCGATTCACCAAATAATCCATTTTTAAATGACGATGATCCGTTACGAGTTCTCCGTGAAAGCTCATTGAGCACACCTCCTTTTGATTACTCGACACCTCATAAAATTCGTGCTCATGAAGCGCAACATCAAATGGCATATATATTTCAGGGGGTTCGATTCCCCATCCCGAAAACTTATTACGATGATATCGATGATCCAAATGATCCAATAGGACCAATTCAACCACGAAATCTTCTTGCTACCTTCCATCAACAATTAGAACGAGATTCTGATGATGACGACGATTACACTAAATTGCACGCCTCTTCCTCCTCTAATAACCCCAACAAAAACGACAATGGAATCGTAGAAGATTCGGAAAATCCTTTCGTTGAATCTGATGAAATTATTCATATCGATCCTAATGACAAGGCATCAAAACGTATCACCGAATACGCTAAATTACGTAAAACTCCGTCGATGAGTGAGCAAAACGGCAAAAAGAAGGCCCAATGAGTCCCAATAATTATGTTATTGATATACAGTGATAATGATTTATTATCTTTTTGTTTTTACTTATCCTTTATTATGTGTAAAAATTGTTTATTAAGCGCGTTGATAAATACTATAGATTTTTTATTAATTTTATAAAGACATTTTGCCATGAGTCATATTCATAGAACGCTAAAAATAATGTTGGCTTGCAATATACAAAGATCGTCTTACAATCACGTTTGAACGATTTTTCTAATTGGCGTGAAAAATTTTTTATTTTCCTAACAATAAGGTCGAGTACTTTCAAAATTGTACACGATATATTTCAAGAAAGTGTGTGTAATCAGGTACTTCGAATTTTTATCAATAAAAAAATCAAACTTTTAATTAAATGATGAAAAAACTTCTATTGATCATTTTTTGGGTCTTCAAACTCTCATAAAGATAGAAATGAAAGTTTTATTATCAAACCTCTAAGAAGTTCTGAACATACACAAAATATTTTGATTTTTGCTTTTTATATTTTATAATATTAATTGTGGTTTTCTAATCTTCGAATATTAGGAATCGCTAGTAAATTTCTGGCTTTAATGGTGCGTATAAATAACAAAATAATATGTTATGCAACTCGAGATGATTATACATCCTATAAATTCAATCTGTCAATCCACTGAAATAGATGTTGAAGAATTATTCTTATATTTTATGATCGATGACAATATATATATATATATATATATATATCTAAAAGAATTATATATACCTAAAAGAATTCTCTTTTTTTTGCTAATTTTATAACTTTATTATTTAGATCTTTCGAATTGTCGATTTAATTTTTCAATAAACGAACAACTCTAAAAATCTTGTTTCCCCAACCCCTTTATATTATTAATATTACCAAACTATTCTGTACTCTGGCTATTTTTATTAGTGAAATAATAATATCACGAAATCGAATCCATAATTATTATTATTGTAACCACTGTTGAATAACAGATTTCAATTCTTTAGTTTCGACATTTGTAGTGTCATTACTATCCACTCGGATCGTTGTAGAATTCAAACATTTCAGAATCACTAGGGTTTCATTTCGATCCGGATTTAGTAATTCCCGGTCGAACCTGTTTTCCCAATAAACAAACAAAAGCTTTAATACTTTCATGTAAGGTACTATACTTAAAAAATAATCGTAAACATACCGCGTCAAATACTGCGTGACCAATGCCTTAATCAACAACAACTGAGGAGGCGGAGCACCAGCCACAGTAGCAGCAGCACTAACCTCCGGTTGCTCAACAACACACTCAATATCTTCGATACTCTCTTTCCAGATATCAATGGTAGTTTTCTCATAACCGTCTCGTTCTAATTTTATTTTGATTAAATTTTCGTGTAATTCGACTGAGCAATTTGGGTGATGGAAGGTCGCGTTGTTTGGACCAAATGCTATCGATATTAACTTTAAGGTGATTGGATATTCTGATGATAATGATGAGTTAACATCTATCGTGGTGTTAGTAGTAACACGAGGAAGATTTGGTGTGGTAATAGTAGTGTTATTAGATGATGAAGTCCCTATCGCTGTTGCTGTTGCTACTGATGCTGATGTTGTAGTATATTGTGGAGAACGTATTGGAGAGCTAAACATACCAGGTGAAGTTGGGTCTATGTGTATGAGTATAATAATAATAAAAATTAGGAATGGTTAACTATTATTTTTTGTTATATAATCAATAATCACCTGGCGACTCTGCTAATTCACCACCAAGTATCGTACCGCTGCCACCTATAGACGAAGAACCTGCTTGAATGGCAGATTCAGCACCTAATCATCGGCAATGACCAATATATTCAAGTCTAGCGAACAATTTATTGAGAAGAGAGAGAGAAGATTTAAAGAAATAATAATACTTTTTGAATTTGTCCCTTTTTTCGAAATAGAAATTCTCCTTCGAGTAGTCTTTTGCGTCTTGTTACCAGCATTCTGGTCTTCATCATCCGTAAAAGTTCCTTCTTCACTGTGAGAAGTACCAGATTTCTTTATCGACACGGATAACTTCCTTTTTCCCCTTTGGGTAGTAGTTGTAGTAGCAGCAGCTTCACCTCGATTTCTGGGCGTTGTTGTATTCGTACCACTTAATATTTTGCCTTGTTTCCATTTAACGCCGCATGCATTGCACAGAGTTCCTAATTTAAAACATTAATATTTTCATTTTCAATCACTTGTGACTTTCATTTAGGAGACTTCAAATTATCTGACTTACCAGCGCCATCAGGACCTCTTCTCCACATTGGGGTACTTTTGCATCCACAATATGCACACCGCTTATTCGCAGAACTTGTGCTATATGTGTGGTGTGATGATTCAGTGGCGGTCGTTAATTCTGGAACTGATTTAGACTTTTTCGGGGAAGATGAACCAGCTTTTGATGATGTAGCGGGAGCTAGAGTTATGTTTCAATTAAACATGTGAAAACGCGCGATTTGATAATAAATTTAAAATATCCGATAATATTGGGTGAAATAAATCGAGACTTTACTAACCTTCGGAGGGTTTAGGAATTTTAGCCTTCTTGGTTTGTCGTGGTTCAGGCTACAAAAAGCATTATCAATATCGTTAAAGAAATTTGTTAAATTTGTGTATACATCAATACAAGCTTTTTACCCCATCAGATAAAACTTCTTCAATATCAATTTCCTTTTCTTTTCCTTTTCTGTTGTTTCCTCTCTCTTTTCCTTTATCCTTCTTGTCATCATCTTTTTCTTTATCTTTAACCTCTTCTTTTTCCTTTTCTTTGTCGGCTTTCCGCTTTCTTTCTCTGGGAAGTGGTTGTACAGTCTCCATTTGCAGTGTACCATCAAGCTTAGACACTCTTTGCGCGATCGCCTATATATATATTTTAGTTGAGTGTATAGGATAAAAGAGTTTACACCTAATATGTGCTTTGAATTCTTACTTCCAACAATTCATCAGGATATTCGCATGGTAATCGATAATGCATATATACACGTGGAGGGTTATATGCTATCTAATCAACACAAAAAAAGGAAAACTCTCAAATTTAATAATTTATTTCTAGCCATTTTTCTTTCAGTTTGGCCATGATTTCAATACTTGTAATATTGAACGAAGAAAGTTCAATAACCTTTGGAAGCATTGATTGGTAAGTTAACGATGCTTCATTTGTTGCCCTTCGCAACGCATCCCATATATTTTGTGATACGTGCGTTAGTTGCATAATTACAGCTTGGTGTTTCTGACGTGACGGTTTTTCTTCGTGTGGTGTAAGATAGAAAGAAGCAATAATCTGTTTAGATAATTTACCAAATTCAGTATCTTTTTATTCAAACTTTCTTTGGATAAATAAATGATGATCCCCAATACCTCAAATGGAGCCATTGATGATGTGGCTTCAAGTATCGCATCTTTCGGAAATACCCAGCGATCATGTTTATTCTCACGAAACTCGAATATAATTTCATGCCTGACAAATTGTCGTTGAGGTCTTATAGAAGATGATTGAGCGGTGGAACGAGAATGTTGCAATAGAATTGATGTTCTTGCTGATGAGGATGCAGAGGAGGAGGATGACCCTTGAGGTGCCAACATAGTTTTAGGTTGAATTTGAGCCGGGGTTCGTGACATTTGAATTGGGTTTGTTGCTGGTGCTATTGGAGTTTGGATTTGCGTAGTTGGCGCAATAGGTTGTGGCGACTGGAGTATCTGTGATACGGGAATATTGGTTTGTGATTGAAGATGTTGAGTGGAGCTTAATAGTTGATGGAGTGCGGTCAATTGTTGAAGAAGAGCATTACGCTGTTCCAAATTTAACGGGCTACCCGATTGCTGTTGTCGAAGGAGTGCTTGTAGTGCAAGAATTTGAGTTGGATTGACTGATTGCAAGACAGTTTGCATAAAAGATGTAAGCTGTGGCGTTGCTTGTTGAAGATTTGTAGTTTGATTAGATGAAGTATTAGTATTAGTAGTTCCATTGGTAACAGATGATGTGGTACTTGTCGTTATCGTTGTCGATGATGACGCTGTTGCCGCCACGTTTGACGGTAAAGTAGATGAGAATGTAGAAATATAAGGGGTAGTAGATGTAGTTGCAGGCGGAGCAGGCAAAGGTGCCACGGGTCTTGTAGATGACGATGACGGTGAATTAGTCGCGGGAGCAACAGGTCGAACACGCGAATAAGATGAACTGCGTGGACTTGTAGTTGTTACTTGCGGAAGTGGTGTTTGTTCTATAACCACTTGTGGTTGCGGTGGTAATTGTACATTAGGAGCTATTGGTTGCGGACATATTGATATCGGCGTGGTTGATGGTGGTATTGGTCTCTGCTGCTGCTCCGGGTTTTGTACCAAAGAGCCTGTTGAAGTTGCAGAGGTTGATGCTATTGCTGCAACTTTTGAAGAAGCTGATGGTTTCGACGATGATGACTCTGAATCGGTATTTATTTGGAGTTGTTGCAGCGCTGGTGCAGAAGGAGCAGGTGGCTCCTCTTTCTCATAAACCACCTCTAAAATCCTTGTATCATAAAAAGTATGCGGTCCTATATTGATATGACACTTTCCCAACGAAGTTATCGTCGGATTCGGTTTTGTATTTTCCGGCAAATGTGGTTTATATTCGATTTCTTGCTTATGTGAGAACTTTGTAAATATCGAAGAAGTCCATGCTTGACGCGATTGAGCGAGGGATAATAGAACAATACCGCTATAAATTAATTTTTCAAAAATAAGTTTTGATTCTAACTTTCTGAAAGGCTTTAATTTGTCTTCCAAAGATCAACAATAGAAAGCTATTAAATCTAGTAACAACCTGTCCTTGTAGTTGTGTAGTGGCTTTCTGTCGTCCGGTACCTGAGGTTTACTTCCAACAGGAAGAGGTAACGCTGATTTCAGAGATTCAGCTCTTTTTCGACTCATTTCCACTTTTTACTCTATTCAAAACTTGTATACGAAACGATCGGTACACGATCCACCTTGCAAAACCAACGATCTGTCGAAATGAGTATAGATTTTGACGACGACCTAGGTGACTGTTAAGTTAGCTCTCTACTTCGAAAGTTATGATAAACACTACTCTTTTTTAGGTTGTTACACAAAATCAAAAAGAATATAAATATGTAATTAATGAAAGTTAACTTCTACACATAATGTATGATCGTCCTGGTTTTTTAATTTCTAGAACTTTAATGACGATATTTGCAAAAAGGTCAAAATTATGATGTGAAAGGACCGAACACAAAAATTTAAAAATTTTTGCATTTGACTATTATCTATGTAATTATTTAGAACGACGACACTTCAAATACGCGTCTTAATGGCAAAAAGTAAAAAATCAAAATCAAGTGAAGGAGATGGTGAGAGAAACGCAGACACTAAGAAACTAAAAACAAAAGATTCTAGTAATGCTATGTCTTCGGGGCCAATATCATTAATATCCGAAGGAAGCTTAAAGATTTCTTTGTTAGTGAAGCCCGGAGCTAAAGAATCGCGTGTTAGCGATATCTCAGAGGATTATATCGGAGTACAAGTTAAGATGCTATTTGATTTTTATCAATTGATTTTTAATAGTTGTCTTCTCTTGAAGTATTATTATAATTTTATGATCTTTCGATTTCATCGTAAAGATTGCAGCACCGCCCAGAGATGGCGAAGCAAATAAGGAAATAGTGTCATTCTTAGCTCAGGTATCCATTTTGTTATTAGCTATTAGTTTTTTTTTTTCAGACAAAGAAAATTTTTTATTCATTTGTTTTTCCTCCCGGCCGGTTAAAATAAAAGGTATTCCAAACACGGAAAACAGATATTTCTATAATGTCCGGAATGAAGTCTCGAGAAAAGGTGGTGAGAGTAGACGGTGGTAAAGACTTATCAATAGAAAAGATACGAGAATCACTGGAATCTAACATGCAGCAATAGAGTACATATATATATTCTTGTATAACAATTTGTCAAATAAATAAATAGAATGAACCGGATATTTATTGATGTCGCACATTTGATCGGATTTTCATTATTCTCCATTTTC